GATGATTTCTTGTTGGGGGCTATCCCTTTACAAACACATGTTCTGAATTACTTAAACTTTCTATGGACATGTTTCAGCAATTTGGTGTGCCGATTGCGAATGACAAAACTGTCGGACCCTCCACTACAATCACATTTTTGGGCCTGACGATAGACACTGTAGCTATGGAGGTGACAATACCGGCGGAGAAGATAACAGAGGTCACCCGGCAGATACAAGCAATCCTCACGAGCAGTAAAAAGAAAATACGGGTAGTAGAGGTGCAATCATTGGTCGGTAGACTCCAGTTCATTACACGTGCTATCCCAGCGGGCAGAGCTTTCTGCAGGCGCCTGTACGACGCTATCAAGGGTCAGGTAAAACCATATCACCGAGTCAGGATTACCAGGGGAGTGAAAGAAGATCTTAAAGTCTGGCAAACATTTCTCCTCAACCATAATGGTACATCTGTGTTTCAGAATGAAGAGTGGATCACGTCAACCCAAATAGAGCTTTTCACAGACGCTGCCAGTTCGTGCGGGTTCGGGGTATACTTCCATGGGAGTTGGGCGTATGGTAAATGGCCAGGCGAATGGGTGAGAGCGGGTTACATGAAAGACATGACTTTCCTGGAATTGTTTCCTGTCATCGTAGCCCTACGTTTGTGGGCACCTAAGTTTCTTAACAACAAGGTAATGTTTGTGTGTGACAACCAAGCTGTCGTGTCCATCATCAACAGGCAAATCCAAGAACCCAAGGTGATGTCTCTCGTGCGTTTGCTAGTAGCTTCATGTCTGAATCATAATATTCTGTTCCGTTCCAGGTACATTTCTACTCATGATAATGTTATAGCTGATGCTATTTCGAGGTTTCAGTGGGATCGTTTCCGGGAAGCAGCACCACAAGCAGACTCAACAGCAACACCACTACCACCGGACATCTGGGACATCTAAGACTGGAGTCGGACCGTTTACTGGACCTGTCACTATCCAGAAACACTTGGAGGACCTATCATACAGCGTTACAGTCTTTCAACGAGTTCAGAGTGTCACATTGTCTCCCATCTACATGGCCGGCACCGCTTGATCATATTATGTATTACTTGTCAGCATTGTCATTGCAGGGTAAATCGTCTAGAACGGCCAACGCCTATATCTCAGCACTGGGAACCTGGCACAAGTGGCACGACATGCAGGATGCATCCCAACATTTCCTGGTGCGGAAGACGCTCTTAGGATTCAGCAAAGCAGCTAGGGCCAAAGACAGTCGACGCCCGATCACAGCAGAAATATTATTATCAATTTCCAACGTTCTTCATATTGTTTGTTCTTCTGTTTATGAATGCAATCTTTTTTAAAGCAGCATATACACTGGCCTTTTTCGGTTTCTTCAGGATAAGTGAGTTGGTACCTACCTCCCTTTCTGACACGTCGCGTAGGTCTCTCACTATTCATGATGTAAAGATTACAGGTAACGCAGCGGCCATGCATGTCACACTTCAATATTCTAAGACTGATCAAACAGGTAAAGGTACTTCTATCCACATCAAAGCTATTCCATATTCTCCGCTATGTCCCGTCGCTGCCATGGCAACATATTTAAAATCGCGACCGACTGCTTCCCCTTATCTTTTCCTTCACTTTGATGGCAAACAACTAACTAGATTTCAGTTTCAGGCAGTGCTGCAGAAAGCCATCAGTCATCTTGACGTGGGGCATCTTAAATTCACTTCTCACTCTTTCAGAATCGGGGCTGCTACTACGGCAGCTATGAACGGTGTTGATGCAGAGACCATTAAGAGATTTGGTCGATGGTCATCTGATTGTTATCTCCAATATATAAGAATGTAAACTGCTTCCATAATTATAATGACAAATTGCGTAATCGTTGTAGGTGTGTGGGTAGTTGGCGACAGCTACCTGGCCCGAGCGAGACCTGCGCTGGCGGACACCCTCGGCAGCATGGGCCCGGTGGAGTGGCGTGTCAAGGGGGGCTGGACATGGCGCCATTACAGGCCGGCAATAGATGATCTGATCGCCAACTCAGCCAGTCAACCCCGGATCCTAGTATTACACCTGGGCTCAAACGACCTCGGAGTCACCACCGGCCGGGAGCTCTTTGAGCAGATCATGGAGCAGCTACTCTACACTCGGTTGCGGCTTCCCCACACCAGGCTCCTGTGGTCCAATATGTTGCCGCGGTGTTGCTGGCGATATGCTAGAGATATTAAGTGTGTTGAACTTGGCCGTAAGAAGCTGAATAGGCGTGTTGCCAATCTTATGAGGACAATCGACGGTGAAGTCATCCGCCACGACTTTATCTACCCAGGTGTAGATCACTACATCAGTGATGGGGTGCACTTGACTCCCGTCGGGTTGCACATTTTCTGTGATGACATTCGCTGCAGCATAAGTTCATCATAAGTTCAGTTATCTGGTACTTTCATTGGCAAACTTGGTGGAGTCCTCCTGTGTTTTTCCTCCATAATTTTACATTATCAATTCTACCAAAACATAACATGACATAACACTTTCTACTTTATTTCGGTGTGGATGGCGCAGCACTTTCAGTGCTCGGTGGCGAGGTTCGGGGCGGACGCGGGACCAATCTCTCGCTCGATTTATACTTCGCTGCTGCTGCTAGGCTGTCTATTTTCCAATAGAGGCTACTTCCAACCTTCGGGTGGTCAAAATAGCATTTGAAACATCGCCGCTACCTGTCTCGTCTGTTCAGGGTCCAACGGAGAGCAGGTCATTAAATCGCTTTGGCTTGGCCCTGCGTCCGCCTTCGCCTTCCACACCTGGCCTTTGTAAATCCAATTCTCTACTTTGTTATCAATTTGTTTTTACATAGTTTATAGGAGAGTCGGACAATAATTCCATTTAGCATTATTTGGCTAAATGTCGTTATTGTACGCTCCATGCATTTCCTGAATTCCTACAATTATTCTCATTCTACTGACAATTACATATAATTTCTTTACAGCAAACACAATAAATTCCTCTTAACAAAACACGTGCTCATGTTTACAAACACCCAAAGATGTGCATTTCATCACATCCGCTTACATTACGTCATCACACAATTGGAGACGTCATCATAATATTTATATTACGTCACTTTCTTTCATTCCTCCGCCATTTTAGATAACCGTCATTTTATCAACCACTTGTTAGCAATTTCATTTTATCATCTTTTTCTCAGTTTCCCTCCCACCCTCCCCATGTTTGCCAAACCGTTTTATTCTATCACTTTCCTGCAACTTAAATCAGGCTTCTCATCTCAAACTTCCAAATACTACAACTGTTATCAACCCTATCTCTATGTTACATAACCTTAATCTCTTTACCCACAGATTTTATCCTAAATGGTTTAACTTTGTTGTACAATTAGAGTGAATTAAAATGACGTCAGGTGGCGAGGTTCGGGGCGGACGCGGGACCAATCTCTCGCTCGATTTATACTTCGCTGCTGCTGCTAGGCTGTCTATTTTCCAATAGAGGCTACTTCCAACCTTCGGGTGGTCAAAATAGCATTTGAAACATCGCCGCTACCTGTCTCGTCTGTTCAGGGTCCAACGGAGAGCAGGTCATTAAATCGCTTTGGCTTGGCCCTGCGTCCGCCTTCGCCTTCCACACCTGGCCTTTGTAAATCCAATTCTCTACTTTGTTATCAATGTGTTTTTACATAGTTTATAGGAGAGTCGGACAATAATGCATTTTAAATATGCATTGGCCTGTCATCATCTGAATGGACGTGTGTTAGTACACAGGATAAGTGAGTGAGTTTAGGTTTACGACGCCTTTAACAATATTCCAGCAAAATCACGGCGGAAAACACCAGAAATGGGCTTCACACATTGTACTCATGTGGGGAATTGAACTCGAGTCTTCGGCGTGACGAGCGAACGCCTTAACCAATTGGCTACCTAACCGCCAATACACAGGATGAAGCTACACAGTAGCCTCAGCTGCAATAACGTAAAACCCACATAGAAATATTACAATTCGATACACCATATATTCTATAGGCCTCAAATACCAACACTGTTAACTTTATTGTTTTAGAGGGGCGGTGGGGTAGCCTAGTGGTTAAAGCGTTGGCTCGTCACGCCACATGGGCACAATGTGTTAAGCTCATTTCTGGTGTCCCCCGCCGTGATATTGCTGGAATATTGCTAAAAGCGGCGTAAAACTAAACTCAGTCAGTTATTGTTTTAGATATTATCCTTCCTGGGAAATCGCCTTTTGCTTTATGTCCGCGTTCAAGTGCATGATGTTTAATGACCACTAAACACAGAACCTTCACACAGTTTCACCCGATACCTTTACGATATACGACAGCACATGGTGGCATAGTTTTGTTTTCCACCAGCAGCATCACCATTGATAACAACATATGATTCTTTGTTTACCATGTTTACCTTTGTGAACTGATGAAAAACAGGAACGAGAATATGTCCACTTCCGGTTAACAAACATTGTCAACATGGGCCGTACTCGCATTTGATATTTGGACTGTAAATAACTTATTTGTTTTTTGTTTGTTTTGTTAATTCCTCATAATTTTAAATAATATGTCCATGTCGTTTACTTACCGCCTGGAAAAGTTTGACGAAAGTGTAAGCCATAGTTAAGCCGACCCCCTTCTACAAACTTCATTTTTATCCTCAAAATTAGGCTTTATCTACGGTAATATTCTTTTTAGAAAAGCTGGGGGTAATATCAACATATCCGATACACTCAGTCTGAGAAAAAAAGTAATGGAGATTTATCAACGGATTGTTATTTTAGTCAGCTACGTCCGGGTTACAAAGCATTGTTCTCATAACCATTGTCGGGACTGTTGTTTTAATCTGTAATCCTTAATTTAGAGAGTCCGGATGAGCAAGTTTTAATGATGAATTAAGAACAATTTTGCCGGGACTCTGAGAGTAGTCCGGATTATGGAGAAAACCGGTTACCAAAGAGTCCGGATTGACAGATTCCACTGTATATATGTGGTAATATATGTAGTATTGCCCTGTTCCTTAGCTTATCTCAAGAGGTCAACCTTGCCAGGAGTGTCTCCTGGTACACGACACGCAGACATACTCTCACCTGGAACTAACCATGAGTTGTTCCTTCCATCTGCTGTTTCTTGGGATGGCTTTTGGTGAGTCTATGCTTCTCGTCTTCCATGTGTACACACGATACAGCGAGTCAAATATGTCATGTCACGGTACTGGAGTTTTCTGCCATGTTTCCATTTGATTAAAAGCGTGCAGGCTGGTGCCATGAAACGACCCACTTCTTTAGATAACCTGGTGGTATTTCCTGAATGCCCATCACCATATAATACATGACACGACCGCTGTTCAATCGAGGGGTCTGTGTAATAGTGCCTTGTCTGATACCTTCGTTTAAAGCAGAAAACATGCACCATGTACAGGTCTTGGGGAGGTTCTTTCACAGAAGATGTGCCTGGAATATTGTGCCAGCCAAGTATTCATGGGGTGTGTCTAATTCAAGTACCTGCAGTAATCTTTGTGTATATGTGGTTTAGTCTAGTCACTCAGGTATACCTGTAGTGTAGTGTTACCCAACTATGCCAGTATTGTAGTGTTACCCAAGTAGACCTGTAGTGTTACCCAAGTAGACATGTAGTGTAGTGTTACCCAAGTATACCTGTAGTGTAGTGTTACCCAAATAGACCTGTAGTGTAGTGTAACCCAAGTATAACTGTAGTGTAGTGTTACCCAAGTATACCTGTAGTGTAGTGTTACCCAAGTATATCTGTAGTGTAGTGTTACCCAAGTATACCTGTATTGTAGTGTTACCCAACTATACCTGTAGTGTAGTGTTAGCCAAGTAGACCTGTATTGTAGTGTTACCCAAGTATACCTGTAGTGTAGTGTTACCCAAGTATACCTGTAGTGTAGTGTTACCCAACTATACCTGTAGTGTAGTGTTACCCAAGTATACCTGTAGTGTAGTGTTACCCAAGTATACCTGTATTGTAGTGTTACCCAAGTAGACCTGTAGTGTTACCCAAGTAGACCTGTAGTGTAGTGTTACCCAAGTATACCTGTAGCGTAGTGTAATCCAAGTAGACCTGTAGTGTTACCCAAGTAGACCTGTAGTGTTAGCCAAGTAGACCTGTATTGTAGTGTTACCCAAGTATACCTGTATTGTAGTGTTACCCAACTATACCTGTATTGTAGTGTTACCCAAGTATACCTGTAGTGTAGTGTTACCCAAATAGACCTGTAGTGTAGTGTAACCCAAGTATACCTGTAGTGTAGTGTTACCCAAGTATACCTGTAGTGTAGTGTTACCCAAGTATATCTGTAGTGTAGTGTTACCCAAGTATACCTGTATTGTAGTGTTACCCAACTATACCTGTAGTGTAGTGTTAGCCAAGTAGACCTGTATTGTAGTGTTACCCAAGTAGACCTGTAGTGTAGTGTTACCCAAGTATACCTGTAGTGTAGTGTTACCCAACTATACCTGTAGTGTAGTGTTACCCAAGTATACCTGTAGTGTAGTGTTACCCAAGTATACCTGTATTGTAGTGTTACCCAAGTAGACCTGTAGTGTTACCCAAGTAGACCTGTAGTGTAGTGTTACCCAAGTATACCTGTAGCGTAGTGTAATCCAAGTAGACCTGTAGTGTTACCCAAGTAGACCTGTAGTGTTAGCCAAGTAGACCTGTATTGTAGTGTTACCCAAGTATACCTGTATTGTAGTGTTACCCAACTATACCTGTATTGTAGTGTTACCCAAGTATACCTGTAGTGTAGTGTTAGCCAAGTATACCTGTATTGTAGTGTTACCCAACTATACCTGTAGTCTAGTGTTACCCAAGTATACCTGTAGTGTAGTGTTAGCCAAGTATACCTGTAGTGTAGTGTTATCCAACTATACCTGTAGTGTAGTGTTAGCCAAGTATACCTGTATTGTAGTGTTACCCAAGTATACCTGTATTGTACTGTTACCCAACTATACCTGTTTTGTAGTGTTACCCTACTATACCTGTAGTGTAGTGTTAGCCAAGTATAACTGTATTGTAGTGACTCCCAAGTATACCTGTAGTGTAGTGTTACCCAACTATACCTGTAGTGTAGTGTTTGCCAAGTATAGCTTTATTGTAGTGTTACCCAAGTATAACTGTATTGTAGTGTTACCAAAGTATACCTGTATTGTAGTGTTACCCAACTATACCTGTAGTGTAGTGTTAGCCAAGTATACCTGTATTGTAGTGTTACCCAAGTATACCTGTAGTGTAGTGTTAGTCAAGTATACCTGTATTATAGTGTTACCCAAGTATACCTGTATTGTGGTGTTACCCAAGTATACGTGTGGTCTAGTGTTACCCAGGTATACCTGTAGTGTAGTGTTACCCAACTTTTCCTGTATTGTAGTGTTCCCCAACTATACCTGTAGTCTAGTGTTACCCAAGTATACCTGTATTGTAGTGTTACCCAAGTATACCTGTAGTGTAGTGTTAGCCAAGTATACCTGTATTGTAGTGTTACCCAACTATACCTGTAGTCTAGTGTTACCCAAGTATACCTGTATTGTAGTGTTACCCAACTATACCTGTAGTGTAGTGTTACCCAAGTATGCCTGTATTCTAGTGTTACCCAAAAATACCTGTATTGTAGTGTTACCCAACTATGCCTGTATTGTAGTGTTACCCAAGTATACCTGTATTGTAGTGTTGGCCAAGTATGCCTGTATTGAAGTGTTACCCAAGTATACCTGTATTGTAGTGTTACCCAACTATACCTGTAGTGTAGTGTTACCCAAGTATAACTGTATTGTAGTGTTACCCAAGTAGACCTGTATTGTAGTGTTACCCAAGTATACCTGTATTGTAGTGTTACCCAAGTATACCTGTATTGTAGTGTTACCCAAGTATACCTGTATTGTAGTGTTACCCAACTATACCTGTAGTGTAGTGTTAGCCAAGTATACCTGAATTGTAGTGTTACCCAAGTATACCTGTATTGTAGTGTTAGCCAAGTATACCTGTATGTAGTGACTACTAAGTATACCTGTAGTGTAGTGTTACCCAACTATACCTGTAGTGTAGTGATAGCCATGCATACCTGTATTGTAGTGTTACCCAAGTATACTTGTATTGCAGTGTTAATAGAAGTATACCTGTATGTAGTGACTACTAAGTATACCTGTAGTGTAGTGTTAGCCAAATATACCTGTAGTGTAGTGTTAGCCAAGTATACCTGTATTGTAGTGTTACCAAAGTATACCTGTGGTCTAATTATACCAAGGTATACCTGTACTCAAGTGTTACCCAACTTTACCTGTATTGTAGTGTTACCCAACTATACCTGTAGTCTAGTGTTACCCAAGTATACCTGTAGTCAAGTGTTACCCAGGTATACATGTAGTCAAGTGTTACCCAACTATACCTGTAGTGTAGTGTTACCCAAGTATACCTGTATTGTAGTGTTACCCAACTATACCTGTATTGTAGTGTTACCCAAGTATACCTGTAGTGTAGTGTTACCCAAATAGACCTGTAGTGTAGTGTAACCCAAGTATACCTGTAGTGTAGTGTTACCCAAGTATACCTGTATTGTAGTGTTACCGAACTATACCTGTATTGTAGTGTTACCCAAGTATACCTGTAGTGTAGTGTTACCCAAATAGACCTGTAGTGTAGTGTAACCCAAGTATACCTGTAGTGTAGTGTTAGCCAAGTATCCCTGTATTGTAGTGTTACCCAACTATACCTGTATTGTAGTGTTACCCAAGTATACCTGTAGTGAAGTGTTAGCCGAGTATACCTGTATTGTAGTGTTACCCAACTATACCTGTAGTCTAGTGTTACCCAAGTATACCTGTAGTCAAGTGTACCCAGGTATACATGTAGTCAAGTGTTACCCAACTATACCTGTAGTGTAGTGTTACCCAAGTATACCTGTAGTGTAGTGTTAGCCAACTACACCTGTAGTGTAGTGTTAGCCAAGTATACCTGTATTGTAGTGTTACCCAAGTATACCTGTATTGTTGTGTTATCCAACTATACCTGTATTGTAGTGTTACCCAAGTATACCTTTAGTGTAGTGTTACCCAATTCTACCTGTATTGTAGTGTTACCCAAGTATACCTGTATTGTAGTGTTATCCAACTATACCTGTAGTGTAGTGTTAGCCAAGTATACCTGTATTGTAGTGTTACCCAAGTATACCTGTATTGTACTGTTACCCAACTATACCTGTTTTGTAGTGTTACCCTACTATACCTGTAGTGTAGTGTTAGCCAAGTATACCTGTATTGTAGTGACTCCCAAGTATACCTGTAGTGTAGTGTTACCCAACTATACCTGTAGTGTAGTGTTTGCCAAGTATAGCTTTATTGTAGTGTTACCCAAGTATAACTGTATTGTAGTGTTACCAAAGTATACCTGTATTGTAGTGTTACCCAACTATACCTGTAGTGTAGTGTTAGCCAAGTATACCTGTATTGTAGTGTTACCCAAGTATACCTGTAGTGTAGTGTTAGTCAAGTATACCTGTATTATAGTGTTACCCAAGTATACCTGTATTGTGGTGTTACCCAAGTATACGTGTGGTCTAGTGTTACCCAGGTATACCTGTAGTGTAGTGTTACCCAACTTTTCCTGTATTGTAGTGTTCCCCAACTATACCTGTAGTCTAGTGTTACCCAAGTATACCTGTATTGTAGTGTTACCCAACTATACCTGTAGTGTAGTGTTACCCAAGTATAACTGTATTGTAGTGTTACCCAAGTAGACCTGTATTGTAGTGTTACCCAAGTAGACCTGTATTGTAGTGTTACCCAAGTATACCTGTATTGTAGTGTTACCCAAGTATACCTGTATTGTAGTGTTACCCAACTATACCTGTAGTGTAGTGTTAGCCAAGTATACCTGTATTGTAGTGTTACCCAAGTATACCTGTATTGTAGTGTTGGCCAAGTATACCTGTATGTAGTTACTACTAAGTATACCTGTAGTGTAGTGTTACCCAACTATACCTGTAGTGTAGTGATAGCCATGCATACCTGTATTGTAGTGTTACCCAAGTATACTTGTATTGCAGTGTTAGCCAAGTATACCTGTATGTAGTGACTACTAAGTATACCTGTAGTGTAGTGTTAGCCAAGTATACCTGTAGTGTAGTG